TAAACCCCTAAACCCTAAACCCGGGCCTGAGCTGTCGGACCTGCCTGTGGCACCGGCTGCCGCCCTCGCGCCCAGGGATCGTCGTGGTCCCAAGGATCCTAGGTTTAGGGTTTTAGGGTTTAAGGTTTAGGGTTTTAGAGTTTAGGGTTTAGGGTTTAGGGTTTAGGGTTTAGGGTTTAGGGCTTTAGGGTTGAGGGTTTAGGGGTTAGGGCTTGAGGGTTGAGGGTTGAGGGTTTAGGGTTTAGGGTTTAGGGTTTAGGGTTGAGGGTTTAGGGCTTAGGGTTGGGATAGTAGAAAGAATTGAAGATTTTCATTCCTTCTAGATTTTAAACACCCATAAGAATGTAAAATGCTACCCAACTATGACAACGGATCCGCTGCCGGCTGTGAAGCAGCCGCCCTGCTTTGCTGTCCTGCAACAAGAGGCACCCTTACGGGCGATTTGAAGCGGATCCGGGTGAAACCCGATGCCAAACGCCCCAAACCCTTTTACCCAACTATGAACCTAAACCTTAGGGTTTAGGGTTTAGGGTTTAGGGTTTAGGGTTTAGGCTACACTCTAAACCCTGAACCGTTATGGTAAGACCTGCATGTGGCGGCGTCGGCGTCTGCGGCATGGACGCCGCCCAGGAGTTTTCATCCCAAGTACCGGGAGCATAGGCCGACCTGGGATTTTGTTCTACTTGGAGGTTCATGGGTGGGTTAGGGTTTAAGGTTTAGGGTTTAGGGTCTTAGGATTTTAGGGTTTAGGGTTTAGGGTTTTAGGATTTAGGGTTTAGGGTTTAGGGTTTTAGGGTTTAGGGCTTTAGGGTTTTAGGGTTTAGGGAGGTTAGAAGTATGGGGAGTTATAAGTGAGGGTATAAGTAGGGCAACTATACTCATAACCCCGACTATGGGACTTACAACCCCATCTATAACTACGCATGAACCTCCAAGTAAAGTAAGAGTCGTCATCATCTTAATCATACGAGCCTTAATAATCATTAATAACATGTAGCTTGGTTATATTCGGGTTTAAGGTTGTTTCTTGGATTAGGGATTAAGGTTCAGGAAATTAGAGTTTAGGGCTTAGGGCATGGGGCTTGACGTCGGGGTTCAGGGTGTTTATCTACCACAACAATCCATAGGGTTTAGGGTTTAGGGTTTCGGGTTTAGGGTTTAGGGTTTAGGGTTTAGTATGTTTTGTGGTTTGCTTACTATGGTAGCTTAAACCAAAGTCATAAACAAGAGCCCAGTGGCTGTGTTGCAGCTGGTTGCTGCGGTGGTGCTTGCGCCGTTTTCTGCTGACCTGCACATTGAAACAATGCTACTTACCAGCAGGGTTTTGGGTTTAGGAGGGTTTCGGAACCTGGTCTACCTCGACCAATTTTCACCTACGCTAGACTGTACAAACAAGTGATTACTTCTGTTCCTCCCTGCGGCCACCTGCATGAGGAGGTGTCGGCCTCTGTGGCATTGATGCGGCCCAGGGGTCATGTTCGTCCCAGGGATCTGGAGCTGGCTGAGGATCCTGAGCTGGCTGAGGAGGATCCTCGGACCTCCACGATCTCTCCGATCCGTCTCCGTCGGATCCGTCGGATCCGTCTACCATGGCCGCGTTCTCACGATTCAGGCTTCTATGCTGTTGAATAAATCGCTCCGGACTCGACTTCACACTGAATAAAGCATCCACCCTAGTTGAACTTTAGATGCTGTGGGCCTTTGGGTTAAGAGTCCTGGGTTCAGGGCATTCGGGTTGCCTGTTGGCTTCCATAAGAAGGCATCGGCTTTGTACAAAGGACCCGAAATTGAACATCAAATGCCCGCAAGAAGGTTGGCAGGAGAGGCTTGAGAATTTAGGGTCTCAGGTTCGAAGAGTTAAAGGAAACTACAGGTGGGGAGTTTAGGGTATATAGGGCTTCCATAAGGCTTGCCTCCTATAACGGCAACTACCCACCTGAAAATGTCCCACTTGGAGGGTCGGAGGACTTAGTAAGTAGCTCTTTTATAGACTTATAAGTACTATAACCCCAACTAGGGTCCCTTTTAGTGTACTTATAAGTCTACTTCTTACCTACTTACTAAGTCCCCCGACCCTCCAAGTAGGGTTTAGCGGGTTTAGGGGTTTAAAGGTTTCAGGGTTTAGGTCGAGAACTCTCTGGCGCCATGCAGCGCCGACCTTTTGGTTCGTGGAT